AGAATGCTGACAAAACCAGAAATAGGATTCTTATGATATGTAGCCAAAAAAGAGAAAAAAAACAAACTGGAAAAAAATTGACCTAAGAGACCAGTAACTCTTCAGAAAAAATATGTAAGCACTTGATTTGGCAGCAGTTTCACATCAAATTCCTTAAACTCTCCACAGCAACATAAAGAGAGTAAAGGTATCTCAATTCCTAAATTAATCTGTTTAAAAAACATTTGAAAAATCCTGTATTTAAGAGACTGAGAATCTCTGCTTTGATTGCAGAAAGTTTGAAACCTGATAAATCAGTGATCTTCAGCAAACCAATTTAAAAACCACAGGTAGCTACAACAGAGCTGTTGCCACAGAGCTCAGAAAATACTATTTCACTGAAAAAATAGTATGCAAAAAGAGGTAAACATACTCCAGTCCTGCCTTCAGTGAAGTCATAACACATTTTACCATTGTTTTAAAAAGCACCAACTTCAGCCTGCATAATAACAAAAGCATAAATAAATATTATGGCTATATGCATCATGCATTAATGCCTGAGCAGCTTCCATCTTTGCTGTGATCTACTGAGATCCTTCTGATCTGTTCAGACAGGGTGAGTATTCATATGACAGAAACGGTAGGACCTATCAATCTTCTTTCAAACTGATATGGAGTAAAACATCAATAACAGCACTACTCTCAAAAGCAGACTGTTTTCTGAATGCGATAAATTGTTCTGGGTGGACAGAAGTAATGACCCATATAATTCTGAACACTATTTCTTCGCTTTGCCAATGTCAAAGAAACACGCTATTTTTGGGGGATGAAAAAAAGTTATGTATTCATTAATTTCAAAGGACTTGTTTTCTTCAGTTCCCCTATTATGAAGTCCTATTACCTATTAAGCATTTGAGCTTCTATGATGGGGAAAAAATACACAGTTTATGCACTTGCCACTTATAATTCTTATAAGAGCACTCATAATACAGACCTACAAATGTTGCGTTTATTCTATGTGTATTCACTGCATCTTACTGTCATATCCATGTGATTATCGTATTTCTGCATTGCACACATTGCATGAAAACAGAGAAATGAATATACCCTCCCTTCAGAAATTCTAGAATTTTGATCATACTTTTTAGAAGTTATGACATACAGAAATTTATCACCTCAACCGCTTTCTTGTACTAACAATGTAACTATTTCTCACCATTTTCTATGTAGGAACAGTCAAGTCTAGCTGCTATAACAATGTGATCTTTTATTCATACTTCTAATCTGAATTCAGGGTTAAAAAAAAAACCCAACACATTTGCTCTTAGAAAATTAAATTGAGATGTAGAGGAAGAAATTTACATTTAGAAGTAAAAAGTGACCTTCTAATATGGTAGTAAATTGTTTTTGACTTTTCTGTCAAGGCTCTCTGGAGACAGTTTGATCCTGTTCTCTAGTACATTGGCCTCAATGTCCTCTACTATAAATCAGCTGTGATGCATGCATATTACTCAGTGATTTCCTAATATAATTGGCAGTATGTACTGTGTATCAGCAAGCAATTTCAAGTTCAGCTAGAGCTTTGACAAACTCAAGGAAGCATAGCTATATAAAAAATGAAGATTAAAAATAAAAGTTGTAATGGAAAGTTGTTTAAAGAAATTAAGTTGCATTTAACAACTATCTTCTGAGACTATGAGCATGATCAGACTTCATCACATTGGACATAAACCCCAGCTGCTCATCTCTCTTCATATTCTGTTCTAGACATATAGAAAAAGGGACCCACAACATTTTGGAACATCATCTAGGGCGCATGTCAAAATTCAAACCATATAGCTTCTCCTCATTAGGATTCATTGCCAATGAAGAACATTCAGGAATATACACATTAAGGAACCTACTGAGAATAAAAGCCAAGCTATTTTGCTGCATAATGTACATCAAAGATATGACTTATTAAGACTAAACTCACAAAATGAGTAACTAAGAAGCTTCCTTATGAAATATTAAAAGTATGTTTTGTTCTTTAGCCAATCCTCCTGACGTTGCAAACTGTCTACACTACAAAGATGTCCCTGTCCATAAATATTGAACACATGCTCCTAATGTATTTGCTAAACAATTTGGCACTGTAAAAGACATTAACTATTAACATAGCTTTATGTTGTAAAGAGCACAAAAAAATCCTGTGGCTCATACTTTTCTGAGTAATTTTCTCATTTGTGTCTGGACCAAAGAACAAAGCACCAGAATGATCCCAAACATGTTTACTATCACAGTGAAATTTAAAAAGGATATATTATATTATGTTTGCAAGCTTATAAGTATGCCATGTACAGAAAATGACACACAGCTGCACCAATACATGCAGAAGGAATTACCAAACTAGTGTACAAGCAAGATGTTGGTTGAAAATGCCGAAGTATTCAAAGCTCTCTGACAAAAGCTCCTATAGTTTTCCCTCCCCAAATAATAAGAACCATGATTATGATGCTAGAATTTATATTGGTATACTTATAAAAATAATGCTCAAAGTAAAAGCCTGGTTCTCATCCTCAGTGTAACTACCACTCCTGTGAGACAATACAAACCTCATTTCACAGCTCCTTACAGAAAACCCAACTATTCTATTGAGTGAAACTAAATGTAACAAAACAAAATGCAACATTGCTGAAAAACTGATTGTGTCCACAATTAGTAAAATTACAACATTTAATTGAAGCACAGAATCCATTCAAATTTACTGCAATTATCCATTAATAAATTAAAAATGCAGCATCTTTCTTATGTTTTACAAATCACTATCTCTAAAGCAGGTAATTGAAAGAAGAATCATCCTATTCTGGTTTCAGCCTAGATTGCTCATAAATGCTCCTAAGGCAGTGGTACAGTATTTGATCTTTGTCTTTGGAATCAACTAAAAACCAGGATAATGTACAACAGTTTATGAAGTACAAGACTAAAATGAAACCTTTAAGGAATACAGATCGGCACCGCTTTGTCCTAACTTGCAGAATGAATAAGGAACCAACATTACAATATCAGAAAGTGTCCTAAGTTAAATATCAAAGTGTTAACAATGAGAGATAAAAAAAGGGTTGTATTACAGCTACTGAAGAAAGCAGAAACAATACTGCATGTATCTACAAGCATTAAAGTAATGCTGTGCCGCCTTTTTGACCAACCAGCCCACAAGAACGGGATGCATCTCACCCACCTCCAGACCCCTACAGCTGAGCTAATCAGCGCAGGCACCAGGCTTTAGGGTCAGTGGGCACAGAAGCCATATGAGCAATTTTTGGAAGTCTACTTTGGGATGAGAATAATCATATCGTAGAAGTGCCCTTTTTCACCTCCGAATAAAAAAGGGAACTCAGGGCAAGAAGTTCACATTGCAGAGATCCACACTCAGTCAAACTGCACCACCAGTAAGAGAGGAGAGAAACAGGTTTGTAGTAATTGAAAACACATATTCAATAAGCACAAATAAAAAGAGGGAAAGAATAGAAGAAAACATGGTAACCACATCTGTGTTTCACCTAGTATAAAATGAATCAGAAGGTCCATTTTAAAACGACAAGAAATGCGAAGAATTGGGATAATCTAAATAGGGATTGGGAAGCACCCATTGCTAACAGAGACTGATTTGAGCCCTTCACAGTAATGTCTATCACCCTTTCAATCACCTCTCATAGCAGGAATGACTGTAACTCCGGCTACCTTTGTGGACCATCTACTACCCTCATCCTGCAAGAGGGAAAAGCTAACTCTGAAGATGAAGGAGGTTACTGACTGCTAATGGGCTTTTATGTTATTCACTGCAATGCTCTATCTACTTAGAGGTAGAGAAAACAGAAACCATAGGGAAAGAAGCAGAAGATATTTGTGCTAACTGCATAAGAATATTAAAAATATTTAGCCTCTGGATACATACTCAAATTAACAAATGAATCCTGGTTTACGGTTTGGAAATAATCCAGTTATGAAAATAATCCAATCCAAAGTTTTGCAAGAATATTTACCTTTGTAAATCATATCTGGAAAGTACAGCTTTTTTGACTTTTCTTTCCCCTTGAACTAGCTAGACATTTGCTATCCCTAAAATAAATTAATACTAAAGTTACTTTAAAAAATATCTAAACCTCTTCTTCATATTCACATAATGATTTTCAGGATAAATCTTCTCAAAGCCTGAGCTGCTATACAGTTTCAAAAGCAAAGACCAATATGCAATTTACGGAGATAAGTATCCCAATTATGAAATAATGATAATGCTGTTACTCTTCAAGAAAGATTACTTCCATGGTTCCTGTAACCTTTCCTTTTCAGCTTCTATGGAATTTATAGTTGCATAATACTGCCTGTAACCTGTCTTGGCAGGAGCTAATGGTGAGACTGAACAAACAATCTCTGTCCTCACATCAAACCTTTTAATCAAATTCAGCTGACAAACAGATGACCTTTAACAGCGGCACGTTTCTGTCAAACAGCCCTGACTGGCCTTTCAACAACATCAGGAGAGTTTCCCTGCTCTACCCAGTAATCACTCCAATTGCAGCTATGTGGTTTCTTTCTGGCAGCTCTATAAACTGTCATTCCTTAGACTCTGATCCAAGTGTTGCCAGAATATGCTGCTAAACAGCTATGCTGGCACCCAGCAGGGGCTCTCTTTTTCAGGACAAAAGCCAGCCTTTTGAAAGCAGAATGTGTTCAACAATAGCAGAATGCACCCTTCCAACATTTTCTTGTACAATGAAAAGTTTCCCTTAGTGAACCTTAAAGAGGCAAACCTAGATGTTAATTTGGACTGGAAAACTTGCATGCCTAGGGCCTAGGTGGAGTTGTGACCTCTACAGTGGAAGCAGTATGAAATATGATTTTCAGTTCCCACAGATGGCTATTTAATACAGTACAAAACCCTAAGGTTTTTATGCATAAAAAATTAAAGGGCAGATACTGAAAACACATTCAAAGGTTTGGCTGATAACAAATGTGATGTAAAAGCAGTAAGTTCTTACTCTTCTAAAGCCTGAAGCATGTTTCCAGGTTCTTCAAAGGACAGAATATCAATGATTTGGTCGTTCATAATTATATCTTCACTAAAGAGATCACCTGAATTAAACTGAGAATGCTCCAGTTTGTGATTCTGGATGAGTTCATGCTGCATCTCCTAAAAAATAAAAATTAACAATTTACACTGAATATCTGATCTGATTTTATTGCAGTTAACTCTGGGTGAGAAGGTTCCTACTTATCTGTACAAACTGTACAGCTGTAGAGGCTATAGAGAGATACACAATTCAGATACGTATCTGAAATCAAATATACTACTTTGTTTCAAGCTGAACTTTTTGTATATAACTGGAGTACAAATGAAGACATGAACGGAGAAGACAGAAGACTCTACACTGACTTCAGTAGGCTTGTGAAAGCCTTCTAGGAGGTTATCTTCTACTATAAACTTTCTAGGCCAATTGTTTTAAACTTACACAAATTATATATGGCAAGATTACAGCATCATGAGGTAAACTATGGCAAATTAATCCTATGAATGATGGAATTGACTCAAGTTTGTGGTTCGGAGACTCCACTGAGACTAAAGGCTAATAAAATTACCATACAAAACCCCACTATAAATATTTGATTCTTGGACCAAACTGACCCTTTTTCATTATTTCATTATCACAGCTTTTTCTGTTAAAAAGAAACAAGGCATGACCTTTTCATTTAAAGGAATATTTTTTCCAGACCTAAAAGTTGTTCAGGGAGTAATTTTCAATCACAGAAAATAAGGCTGGAAGTGATTTATGAGCTCCTCTGGTCAGTCCAGGGGGATGGGAGATCCAGCATGGTCCGTGCAGAGAAGGGACTCAAACATCTGAGTACGTGTCTCTTAGAGGTCTGCTCTAATCACTGTGATATTCTGACTGACGGCTCTAGCTCTCTCCCATTGAAGCTGCTGCACTTTACATAAATACATAAACAATTAATAGAAGCATAGGGTGGAACTTGGATCAACATGATGAATATTTATCAGATTTTTATTTTCTCTGTCTCAGTATGTACAATCTGGCACAGCCTGGATAAAGAGCACTGAAAATGCTTCATCCCCAGACCCGACTGTTTTGTCCAGTCACTCCATGAAATTAAAGCACATCCAAAGAACCTAAATTCAAATCCCTATTCCTGATAATCAGAAATACAATTTGGAACAAGTCTCCTGTGCTCAAGGTAAGTGGTCTGCTCCCTTGGCAAACGCTTATAACTTACAGACATCCTGCTTCTCACTTTGAGGGATGGAGAGGACGAAGAGAGGAATATGAAAGGAAACTAACAGACAAAGGCTAATCGCCCTCCAGTCTGAAGCTAACATCCAGGTACTGACAGCAGTTCTTTTGATCAGATTATCATTCTTACACTCCCTCTAAATCTGATTGTGCTAAACATTAGAGGTTGTAGAGATTGTATTACCTGCACATGCAATCCATCACTTGGTGGCTTTTTATTTATCTTTAAAAAGTCTTTAGACTATCTGTATTAGTTGGCAAATTATACCATCAGATATAATCAACGAAAAGTTTAAAGAGAATTATGGACAGTATGACTTACCTGGTTTTTACTGCGGAAACTCCATTTTAATATTTGGGTTCGGTAAATGATGAAAAAGACAGCACATGTCAGTACGAGTGAAATAAAAAAAGCAATGAAGAACCCTGAAGCATGGATGGCATGGCTGTACAAAATCTGAAATTAAAAGACCACATTATTAAAATTACATTTTGACTATATATAAAGATCAGACTCAAAGATTATAGCTGTAAGGAAAGTAGCAAATTATTTTTAAATGGCTTCACGCAACTTCAGGGTTCCTCAGCATTAAGTTAGAATTTCTATATTTCTATTAATATTTTCAAACACGTGTCTATTTTCTGAGGTTTTCAAGACAGCATGGTTTGTTACATTCACCTACTCCAAATTCTTGTGTAACTTCAAGCAACAGAACTCCCACAGATTGAATTTAGGTGCTATGACTTTTGGGTGTCCTGTACTTAACAGTTGGTTTTCCACTGTTGACAAACTCTCCTAAGTCTCATTGAAACTGACGGCAATTGGTCTTGCTCAGAGGCTCTGAAAATTTGCTCTGATGTTGCCTACCTTTATTTAATGGCTATATCTCAATTTAATAAAACTGAGTAACTACCATAGGGAAAAAGCACCAGTATAAATTTCAGCATAAATATGTAACTGACAGCTGACAAAACCATCCAGTGTGTGTACACCCTTGCAGTTTCTGCATAAGCCGGAGTCGGAAAAGAATAGCTGGAGCACTGGAACAGCAAGCCAGCTAACAACTTTGCAGACCTTTCATTTCAGTTAACTTAATCTTTAAATTGAATTCCATTAAAAATTAATTTCTACTTCATGCTCCATGTAGCAAGAGTTAATTCAGTGTTTGTTTAGTTCGTTGAGATCTCTGAATGAAAAACAAAACACAGCTATTAGTATAATATTTCACCACAAACTAATCACTCTGCTGGGGTTAGAAAGTGTAAATAATTAACATGCTTCTTGCAGGCTGGGTTTGGTCACCTCTTGGAACAGAAACCTGAAAGCAGAAACCATGCAGTCAACAGTAATTCTGCATAGGAAGCAATACTCAAACATGGTTCACAATTTGAAAAGGATTTATTTCAATTTAACACTAGAATTTTATGCTTTTACTGCCTAGTTTTTCTCTGGTTTTGTACACTGAAAACCTGTCGTATCTAACTGAAAGGAACTGCCTCATGTCAGACTCTGTTGTTGCACAGGTTCACCTCCTCAAAGCTGCTGGAGATGCTCAGCACTCACTGATTTAAAAATAATTTCAGTTGTGGAGACCTCATAGTGGCCTTCCAGTATCTGAAGGGGGCCTTTAAGGATGCTGGGGAGGGACCCTTCATTAGGGACTACAGTGATAGGACAAGGGGTAACGGGTTAAAACTTAAACAGGGGAAGTTTAGATTGGATATAAGGAAGAAATTCTTTACTGTTAGGGTGGTGAGGCACTGGAATGGGTTGCTCAAGGAAGCTGTGAATGCTCGCTCCATCCCTGGCAGTGTTCAAGTCCAGACTGGACAGAGCCAGCCCTGGGTGACATGGTTTAGCGTGAGGTGTCCGTGTCCACGGCAGGGCGCTTGGAAGTAGATGATCTTAAGGTTCTTTCCAACCCTAGCTATCCTATGATTCTATGAATTAGGCAATGATGTCAGTATTAATGGAATCATCAAGGCGTTAATACAGGCTACTATTTGGCACTTGCACAGCTCCAAGAAGATCCAAGATTTACTTCACAGAATTGTACATGTACAATCAACAATTGCTCTGACAGACAGGGGTGCGACTGGCTTGTTTTTTTTTGTTTTGGTTATTTTTAATGTGCTTAGTCTAAAATAAGTAAACCCTTGAAGCACCTTGAGGTTCACTAAAATGTTCTGGGACTAAGTATTTATCTGAGTAAGCCACCCATGTGCTGAATTCCTTCTAATACATTTCAATATCTTTTAAGTTTTTAATGGAAACAAGAAAGAAAAGAAAATGAGGAGCAACACAATAATTTCCCAGTTCCATGTGTAACTACCATCACACTGTCTGAATGTTTTTTCTTGATGTAGCTTTGGCCAATTGCTCCCATTACACTCTGTACCACTGGGTGGCTGAGTACCAGCTCTGTCCTCACCTCACTCTGCAGTGCCCACCAGTTCCTTGTCATGAGCTCAATTAAAGCTGCATCACTTTGTATCAAAATATCTTCATTTTTTAATTCATCTGAAAGATGTTTCTGTAAATATTAAGTAACTCCCCTTCCTAAACAGTGTTTAGCCCTACACAGTTCAAAAAGGTTTAGCTCATATCCCTTGAACTGAGACAACAAACATCTGTGTGGGACTTGGAAAAACTGCAATTCTGAAGACCATCTGCTGTCCCCAGCTTCTCCAGTCACACTAGGTGGCCAAGAGGGAATCATAGAAGGGTTCTTTAGCTATGCCATACCAAGGATCTGCCTGTGGTCTAACCACTTTCGATAAACAGGAGATGCTGTACATAATACTTAGGAAGAAAAAATGCTGCTTTGGAACTACTTCATTTTGCCTGAACTCACACTCATTTATCTCCAAGCACTCTGTGAAATTTAGGGATCTCTCCAGGCTTCTGGGGAAAGCAGGAACCTGGTGAAGCTGAAATGGAGCTTGTTAGCTTTTGATAGAGAAAAAGCGCTGACTAGAGAATTACCTGTACTTTCTAAGTAAAGTCGAGACCTACAGCAGCACAGTCAGTCTGCACCAGGGCAGGCAGCTCTGTCAAAAGTTAAGCTCCAATGGAGATAAATGGAAAGAAAATCATCTGTGCTTTTACATTTAAAGTAAATGGGTTCTGGAAAGAAAGTCAATGTCACTGGGGGGCTGTACCTGCAAGCAGGACACAGTAGGCGCCTAATGACATCTAAAAGCATCACTGTGGATGGTGAGGGCAGGTGCTAGAAGAGCCCCTGCACAAGCCACGGTGCAGGAGCAGTGCTGGCACTGCAGGTCAACCTTCAAACCACTGACACACCAGTAAGCCTCAAAACCCACATCTGGAGCTAACTTCTTCAGCCATTCCCAAACTGGAGAGAGGCATTACAGGCCCACGTTTCTTTCACAAACTGCTGCACTTCTGCTAATTTGAAGGATGCTGACAGAAGCAAGTCTGGTAAAAGTCAGATCAAAGTAATATCTGTGCCATGCAACATGCTCAGATGGGAGAACTTTCTTTTGTCCTTTTCACTACAGCATCAAAACCACCCAGCTAAGGGCAGAGGCACTCAGTACTCACAGCCCCTGAAGCATTGCGGGAAGACATCTGACATGGACACTCACATGAGCAACACATATTTTTTTCATAAGCCACAAAATTACCTTGTCACAGGCAACCAAGCACTTTCTTCCAGTGGCACAGAAGAAAAATCCACAGGGTTTGTAAAACTTTAAAGAACCACACAGTAGCCAAGTGTGCAAGCAAACCATGTGAAAGCTGACAGAACCAACTTAGCATGGCACTGCCATGTCTACACAATTAACTCTCTTTTCTGCCCCCTAAGTCAACATTCATTATTCACATAATCACAAGTATGTTGGCTTTACCACACTCATTAACAGGTTTAAATAATGATTTTTAGTAAATATAATCTGAGATTTAGAGTATTTATGACAGCTGAAGGTATGGATGAAATACAATACATCGCACCTTTTTCAGCTAATCATAATTTCCTTGCACAAACTGATTTCATTCTGAAATGCCTTATGCTTGGCCACAGTCCAAAGGCAAACACTATGAATGTGAAACATGAAGTGTTCTGTAATTTCTAAGCTTTAGTTTTTAAAAATTAACAGCATTCTCCACACACCTTTACCACACATTTTAATTACAAAATCTGTTCATTTAGTAAGTCCAGATGCAGCTGAGCCAATTTTACCTAACTATGGAACAGTCCCCAAGAACCTGTTGAGGTCTAAATATCAAATTCAAGTTGAAAACCCCCACACTATAGAGGTTTTAAGTATAGTAATAGCAGAGACCAATGTAGCTTATAGTCTTAGCTTAGACATCACCAGCGGCTGTAGATCAATTCACACTGAACTCTACAGAAAACTATTCACAAAGCTATTTTTCTAACCCAGTCAACTACTGCATGGCTTACACCTTTAATAATATGAGTTTCCAAAAAATACCTTTATGGTAATTCCAAGCATAATTCTTAGCTATACAAATGTCCAATCCCTTTAAATCTTACTAGAACAGTAAGTTCTCTAGCCCATGTATAGTTTTACTTTATATCATGTTTAATTCTGACTTCCATTTTAATAGAGTGAACACCTGACCTTCAATTATGAGAAAGCCAAGTCTGGACTTATTATACTGATACTTAAAATTATACTAACAGAAGCTCAGAGGGCAAGAGATTCCCAGCAATAGAGAATACTGGAACAAGAGGTCCCTGTGCCCAATCTCCAAATAGACTACTGATTTTAAAGGTAGAGAGAAACTCATGGGACAGGCCCATGGAAGGAATGAGCAGCCTAGTCCTCAAGGCCTTGTCAGGCATGCCCCATCCATATGAACTTTACATTTCAAATGATATAATCGTGCAAAAAATGTTCCAGGGTAAACCAATTTTTTTCTGCCTGAACACAAATAATCACAGTGATCTTGCCAACCAAGTCACAGCTCCTTAAGAAAAGACCCCTTGCAACACAGCCTGTCAAGGTAATAAGGGTAGGGGAAGAAAACCAAGTTTGGTGAACACATTACTCATTACTCAAGCAATAACAGTGATGGATGCAGTGATCCATCTTAAATAAAAATTATCTAGAAGAATAGTGCTGTTCACTGCATTCAATGTAATTTTGAAGGCTTATCTGGCCTTTTAGAAACCATAATAGGAAATCATAGAATTTACCTTGGTCTTTTCTTCTTCAGTTATGGTGAATGATGCTGTCAGTGATACGAGATGTGTTGCATTCTGAGATACAAAAATATTACATGCATGAAAACAAACATGCAGCAAACAGCCCAGAGTCCCTAGAAAACCCTGTGTTTAGAAGATAAGCTATATTTCTCATTAAGCTTAAAGCTGAAATAAATCTGTCAGGAAAATGCAGTGTACTTAGGAGTAACACTAACAGACATGGAAGCAGCTACTCTGTGGGATACACTCTCCCGCTAATCACACAGAAGCATATTCCGGTGCTCACAGAATCACATGCCTATAAAGGCTGGTTGACTTAAAATGCACAGAACAGGAGCCACAGGCAGTGCACGTCTCTACTCTTACAACTCGCTGTTTTTTTGAAGTCTCGCTCACCTCTACGCTAGTAACACTCTCATGCATGCTGAACATTTTTTCCTCTAAAGCAAAGGAGATACAACAGTTGAAATGAAAAGACATGTACAGGTTCTTTACATGCAACAATGAAAACCACATAAAATAAAAGTATCAAGCCATATTTTAGAATTGGAAAATTTTACTTTGGAAGAAAGCAAAGAGACAGGCTAACTCCAGCATTCATTAGATCAGCTGTCTCAGAGCCTGGTGCAACTGAGTTCTCAAAAATCAGCAAGGATGAAGATTTCTCAGCTTCTCTGGACAATCTGTTTCAGAGATTTACAACTCACACACTAAAAGTGTTCTCCTTACAAGCAAAGAGGTTTTAGTTTACTTCAGCTTGTTTTTTAGTTAAAATAAATTCTTTTTCTGATAAAAAATGGTAAAACTTTCAATCTCTCACAGACTAAACTGGAAAGAAATACAAAAAGCAGGAAGAAAAGCTACAGGACAACACACAAACATACTCCACCTATTTAAGGACGTCTAGGACTTCCTAAGCTATAAAGGGTAACTCATGTATTTGTAAATTTATGGTAAGCAGTCAGACAGCCTAAGAACTTAATTTCATTACATGCAGGCCTCATTGCTTAGGCAAACAAGCACCGCCTTGGAGATTCTTTTTAATTTATGTTTTTACAAAAACGGTGAAGAGCAAAACAAAATTGTAAAGGAAATACCTGTGATGAACTCTTGAAAGTTAGCTTTGCAGGCAGCATCAAGACCCTGCCATCCCATGTTTCTTTTGCATCAAGAAGTGCAGAGTAGTTGACTGCAAAGTATTCTCCACCTTTTAAAAGAGAAAAAAAACCCAGCTGTGTAGATTAAGCAGGTGAGGTACACCTGACAGTGCATTAGTGGCCTCTAAGTATTGTGTCTGCATTTTTTTAAAACAGAACAGTAGCTATACCGACATGAAAACAACCCAGTACAGTTGTACATCATTTTTCAAACAAGAATGGGAGTGAATCTCTGAAGAGTGGAGCACCCAGCTGAGCTCAGCTGCAGCTACAGATGTTTGCAAAATTTGAAAAGCAAGTTCAATATGAATAAAACATCTGAGGAGCTTTCTGGGTGCCCCTTTAGACTTATGCTTCCTCAACAGTGAAAGTGCCCTCCTAGGAAACCAGCTGCAGTAAGCTCACAACACTGAATTCAAGGGAATTCAGCAGAGGAGGCAGCCAGAGCCTAACAGCATAGCTCAGAGAGGAGAGATTTGGATAGATTTGCTTTGTCCCAGGAGAATTATTTGAAGATCCCTGGCAAAGGCTTGAGACAGTACTGGAGCTTTTTCCTTCTGAAACAGCAGATGCCCCGCATCCAGAGTAATGGCCACATGAGCCCATCTACAACCCTATCTGTTGCCCCTAAGAACTCAAGAAAATCTGGCCCAGGATCTGGGAACTGAATTAACAAATGCCTCAAGCTACTGAAAAGCATCATGTTTTGACTGATATTAAAACTCAACATTCGATATTTAGAATTATATTTTTTTAATCAAATGGACAGCCCCTTTGTAACCACTAACTGGTTGATTCTTCCATTGAAATCAAAGAGAAATCTGACTGAGATTTCAGCTGAATTTTGACTCACAGTGCACTGGAGCACTAAAAAATTGTTTATGACTAACATGCAGTATGACAGTACATAAGACAGTGTAGGCACAGGCATTCTGTCCAGCCTTACCAGCTAGGTGTGGGCTGAGCCCAGGATATTCTAATGACCAAACCTTAAACTATGCAGAAATATGTTCTGCTGAATTTTCTTCCACTTAGTATTCTTCATGATGATTTGTGCAGTGTATATGGGCTGGAAAAGCTAGCTTCAGTTCCAGATTCAGTAGTTACATGTAAACTAAATAACTAATCCAACTCAGTTTACTAGATCAGCTCTGCAAGCCATTTTTCTACTCTTTCTCAGGGACATTGTTTCTTAGGAACCTCTTTCAAAGAGTTAGCAATTCCCTGACATTAAAAAAAAAACAACAGCCCTGTAATCAGTACCGCTACTCAAACTGCTGTTTTTAGAAATGGAGTCTGGCTATCTGCAATCAGACACAACCCCAGATCTACTTATTTCCCCTTCCTGTTTGGAAACCTCTCACCAGTAAAATAACACTAGGTACTTCAGGAGCAGGTATCACTGAATGCTTCTGAAGCTCCAGGAGAAATACCATGACTCAGAAGCAAGCTACTAATTTTCTATGTGCTTGTGATGAAGAAATCGAGAGGTAAAATTTTATGAATGTGCAATGATCCAACTGCTACTAAAGATACAGACTGACTCCCAAGAGAGGAACTGGCTTCTCTCTCAACTACTTGTTTTCAATTTGTAAATTGCTAAGTTTGAGGACAACGGATCCTGAGAAGAGCTGCCTTATTTCTGATGAATCATCTTGCTTGCTTCCATGGCTGTTTGTAATTCCAATGCATAGAATCATAGAATGATAGAATCGTTAGGGTTGGAAAGGACCTTAAGATCATCTAGTTCCAAACCCCCTGCCATGGGCAGGGACACCTCTCACTAAACCATATCACCCATGGCCTCGTCTAGCCTGGTCTTGAGCACTGCCAAGGATGGAGCATTCACTGCTTCCTTGGGCAACTCATTCCAGTGCCTCACCACTCTCACAGTAAAGAATTTCTTCCTTATATCCAATCTAAACTTCCCCTGTTTAAGTTTTAACCCGTTACCCCTTGTCCTGTCACTACAGTCCCTAACGAAGAGTATCCCTCAGCATCCTTAAAGGTCCCCTTCAGATACTGGAAGGCTGCTATGAGGTCTCCATGCAGCCTTCTCTTCTCCAGGCTGAACAGCCCCAACCTTCTCAGCCTATCTTCATACTGGAGGTGCTCCAGTCCCCTGATCAGCCTCGTGGCCCTTCTCTGGACTTGTTCCAACAGTTCCATGTCCTTTTTATGTTGAGGACACCAGAACTGCACACATTACTCCAAGTGAGGTCTCACGAGAGCAGAGGGGCAGGATCACCTCCTTTGACCTGCTGGTCACGCTCCTTTTGATGCAGCCCAGGATACGGCTGGATTTCTGGGCTGCAAGTGCACACTGCCAGCTCATGTTCATTTTCTCAATACTTCAGCAAGCCAATCTGCCATGCTTGGCTAAAGAAGGAAGCTTTGTCAGGTATGATTAAAATGGCTTGTGCAGCAGCTTTTAAAAATATCCAAAATGAACAAATACTATCATGAAAGTTTCTAATTAATTTTGATGGTAGCGACTTTTACAGAATACAGGGCCTCAATTCTGTGCCTGGGAGATCAGAAGCAGTTCAAAGGTGGGAGTCAAATTATGAGCTAATACAATTGTAAACTGCAGGACAAAACCTCTTCCGAAGTTTTTCACCTGTATTAACTCATAATCAGAAAATCAGAAATTTTACCACCAAAAGTAAGTAAATACTGTGATTTGAACAGATGCTTGTCCACATCTGTAATCCAGGGTAGTTCCCTGTAGATTTTGTTACCTTGCAAGACTCCTTTGCTATAAATCTGTATGCCATCTGTGGTCTTATTGCCACTGTTTTTTTGAACGTGAAGACCAGTGATATTGTCCAGGAGGATAAGATCTGTAATGTTTGTTGAGAGCAGCGTGTTGGTGTTATTAATCAGAAGTGTGATGTGTGCGATTTGAGGGTCATGTTCAACATCCACCTGAAAACAGAAATATTAGCATTAATGGTGCAAAATGGCTGTATGTGCATCTTAATATCAGAATTCATAGTCTTGATTACTAATAAAAGTTCAGTATATGTGTAAACTTATTTTCTGAATGCATTCTGAGAGGCCTGCAAGTGCCACTCCACTCTCTTTGATCTCCAGCTCCCAAGATTTTAATCTTTGGTATGTTAGGCTGTTGCTTGGAGACAAAGGGACAGAAACCCATGAGCTAGAAACCCAGCTCATGCAGAACCAAAAGTGAAAACAAGACCTTGAGCGTCCCTGTGATACCTCATACAACACAAAACTGTATGAGAACCTTAAAAGCAGAGTCTGGAAAATCCTTAAACTTGAACTTCTGTACCATGAAGATGTTTCTTTTGCAAGCTGCCCTTGCTGCAGATTCATTCTCTCTAAGCAGTTTTGGTCTGTATTTCCCTTTGCTCTCAGGAACCACACTCTCTGAAGGGTGCTGCTGCCTTGATTCGCCCTTCCCATGAGAGGGCTTGATGGAGCCACAGGTGGGCTTGGAAGTCCCATCCCTGCTTCCAGTTAGTGGTGAAGTTCAGAAGCTAATCACCAACCTCTAGCAACATGCATCAACATTATTTTATTTACTTATTCCACTAGGCCATTAACTGTCATTGAGTAATTATACCCTCTCAATAAAATTACTTTGAGCACAGAGTTGCTTACTGACCTCTCACCTTCCAAATTGTCTCCTGATATAACTCATATTAAACCAGAATTGCCTAAAGCTTTATCAGGTCTATAATATGCTGGCCTATAGTACATCCTTAATGTTGTAGCAGGCTTCTAATAATGACACTAAATTAACACTTATTTTACTGACCAAAGTACGTTTCAGGCTGAACTTTTCTCTTGTTTCCTCTTCCTTTCTAGTCTGTATCACAACACACACAAATGGAAATAAAGCAGCCCCCAGAGAAATAAGTTCTAAAAACATGAATTGTGCGACAGTCTTCAGAACTCACACCAGAGTTTGTGGCAGCCACAGGGTCTGTCATATGTAGTTATGATTTCACTGTAACACCATTCATCTCTGCATTTCATACTAATTGAGTAGAGAATCAGATTACAGTTTTAGGATATCTTATGCATCAAGGAGAAAAAAAAACTTTATTGACATTGCTTTGTTTGCGTTTTTTTCAATGTAATTAAATAATATCTAATAATGTACTAATAATAAAAGTACATTTAATAAACCTGTTTAAGTGTTCTACACGCAGCAAGTTCAACCCTCAACTGTACAGAAGAAACAGATTTTATGGAAGAAAAAACCCAACTATTTATTGTACTAGATTCTGCAAATAATTGTCAGCACATATAAAAATAGGCTCAATCATGTTTGTGAGGAAAATATTACCAATTTCATATGTTCGTATATCATTAATTATACCCCAACATTTATGAGACATAACTCCACTATATATTAAAAATGTGATATATTTGGGGCAGATTTTCTCTCTCCTGGTTTCTGAACTGGCATAATGCAGTCAATATGACTTTCAAACTTTCCTGTGCAGTCACAAAGGCTTTAAACTTCCTTTAAAAAAGCACAAACAACATGAAACAGGGAAAAAAGCCTCAAAGCCACATAAAGAAAATCCAAAGCCACAGAGCAGAGAACCTGACCCAATCACAAAAACAACACACCTTGAAAGATTCGAGGTTCAAACTACACAAATTGTTAGCACTACCTTATGCTTCACAGTAAGTGTGGATTGGCTTGTGCAGACAAACAAGTATGCACCAGCAATAGAGGAAGCTGGGGAAAAAGGAAGAAACAGAAAAACTTTTTCCTCCCTTCATTTTACCACACCTTTCCCTTGCCTTTCTGTGAGATGAAGCAAAAAAATGAGGATTTCAGGGCCTCTTTCTGTGCTTCTAATTAGGCACAAATATATTCCTTTACATTTGGGGAGAAGGGATGTAAACAGTAATTTAGATAAATTCCTACAATAAAATAGGCAGAGAAAGTTGCATGTGTATATTCACAGGCAGGAGGGGGAATATGGCAGCATTAGCCCTTTCCTTCCCCTGGGCAGAAGGTTTAATGCATGCTCCAACACACCATTCATTCTCTTTCTTCAACCAATTTTGCACTTTCTCTTCAGTTTCTTTCATTTAATAAAGTTCTTAATTCAGTGACTAAACATAACATCCCTTCAGAGGTATCCCAACCATACTGCCTATCACCTACCACAAGCAATGTGGGAATAATGTTGGGAGTAAGTTAGAACAACTAGAAATGGGAAAGGATTAAAAAAAAAATGAAGCACCATAGAATCAAAGATAATCTGTAATGCAAGAATACTTAGAAGATTGAGACAAAAAACGCATAAATGTATTAAAAGCCAAATAGTCAAATTTAAAGATTTACTTCAGTTTTGTTCAGGATTATTGTCATTATGAAGTACTGTTACAAAAAAGTTCATGTCATAATATGGAATGAGGCTCTTAAAGGAGTACACTTCTTGAAAGAAGGAAAGGACGGGGTCCTGGAAGCACAGGTAAAATTTCAATAAGGTTATTTCTGTGATGAGGTGTTGGAAAAATCCTGTCTCCGAGAGGTATACATATGTCATCTCCATGCTTCGAGGAATCACTCATGTTTTAAATGGAAAATGTGCAGAATGTACTTTTTTCCATCTAAAACAGCTAAAGACCACCATATGGCCAGTGTCTCTCTTAGCATCTGTTCAGATGAATTAGGACTGAACTAGATGACATGGTAAGCAAAGGAAAATAAAATATGAACTACATTTAAATGTGGAAAACAATCATATACAATTGCATAGTTTTCCGTAATTCACACCCAGAGGTCTGCAAAATTATTTTCTGATAATCCTAGCATCTATAGCAGATTAACCTCGATGTACAGCAGGATTTCACAATTTTTAATGAGCCTATGTGACGTTGTGCTATAAACAGCAGGAAAAACCCAACATGTAACTACCTCTGAGAGGCTCTGATATAAAAATTGGGAATCTACAGTTGGAAAAACAGAAGGATCTGTGTTACTGCTTCTTATGTCTGAAATGCTAACTATTCAGCCTTATTAATTATGATATGCTGCCATTTCAATAAGAATATTACAGGTAATTTATGCCATGAGATGAGATGCATATTCATTCTTCTCTAAGCAAATGATCTGGTGCAAGTTATAACACCACCTCTTCTGTCCTGGTTTCTGAAACTACTCTCATATGCAGCATTTAAGTACTGAATTCATGCTTGTCTTAAAATTGGATGTGCTTTCTCTCTCCAAGAGATAGGTAAGAAAAACTGTCTCTAAACAGAAAAACTCAGACTTGCTTCATCCGGTGTAAAAATCAACCAACTAATCAACAAAAACAGGGAAAAAAACAGAAAGGAGTAATAACAGTATAGGTAAATCTATCAACCTGTGCCACATGAAGTAAAAATAAAAAGGAAGGTTTAAAATTTCCTTATATTAGGGAAGTCTTTGCTCCTCATAAGCATTTTACACAAGTCAAATTAAACCTTTTTTCATTATATACTGTGCAGTAGCTGTGTCCCACTGAATATGCAGACTATGACATGTTGGTTCTTCAATGGATGTGTGATAGGATGGCCAAAGATACAATGGGCATCACAAGGCCCAGTGCCCTACTCTTCAAAAGGAGTCTACAGGTGACACAGGTACAGCACCCATGACTGAGACAGAAGAATATCTCCGAAGGCTTATCTCATCCTCTAAAGAAGTTTGTCTCTATCTCTACCCAGCCTTGTGGCTGATTTCTAGAGTTCACTGGGCTTTGTCCATTTATAATTTTACAGATTCACACGGAAGCATTTAGTTTTACGACAATCCAAAATCCCCTGAAGTCAAGAGAACATTTCACTGACTTCAGTTTTGACTCAACACTGCAAAACTGTGCCTTTTACAGAGGGTGTAACCATCTTAACATCAAAAAGGATGTTCTCCCAAATACTCAGCATTGGCACAATTCTGCTCCCACTTTTTAAAGGACATTAAGGAACAAACTTCCTACCAAATTAACAAGACAAATATAAGAAAACTTACCACACCACATTTCTGAAGGGTTATTCCAAATCCAGAAGAAACTGACATATTGGACACATCTTTAATCTGGAAGAAGGGGAAAAGTCTACATAGTGTATGAAAATATAATTCACAAACTGCAGCACAAGTTAGAAAGGTAAATAATGAGATGAGAAAAAATAGTGGCACTGTCTCCAAATTTAAGAGCTTTTTTATTCCAATAGCTAATCTTTTTTTCTAATCTAAATTTGTATGAACTACTTATTCCCACAAGTAATTACTAGTATCTTAATTGATATATTCATCTTTGGCCATCACAATTCTCTAACAAAATACTCTCTGCATAACATTATCAGACTTCACAGATCCATCTCATTACTAAGTGTCTACCAGAATTTACACAGCAATCACGTAGTTTATCTGTCACAATAACTCTTTGGGCATCTCATGAGTTGGTGCTGCTAAAGCCATTTCAAGTGATCATAACCACCTGAGACAGAACTAGAAATGTACTAATTGGGTAGTAAATTCCCAGCTTGTGATATAATTGCTACAATCCTGAGAGAGAGTAAAAGTTGCAAACCATCTATTACTGACCAGGTGGAGGTTAACAGAAGACTCTCGTTTGAACAAAATCTTATTTGTCCATGAGGGTACCAATGCAAACAGCGAATGGCTCCACTGATTGTCTGAGGCTGCAGAGGTCAAGAACTGGTGAGGGGCTTCACTTTCTTGAGTGGCCAGAAGTAATGGCATTGCTGCAAACCAAGACAAAAGTATGCATTACAGCTAAAGCTGGCTCCTGTGCGGCAGACACTGGGTGCAGAGTCCAGGCATGGATGGGGCTTGTGGTACCTGGAACTCTGTGTGGACACTGCAACCAGCATGCTCTCCCTCAAAGCACTTAAAATCAATACAGGTAACACAGATACGAGGCCATACAGGAAACAGAGATGGGATCTGCCCCCCAAAACCCAGCAGGAGTTAGAACAAAAGTGTTTCCTACGTAGGGAAAACACACATACCCCACAGAAAAGTTATTGCCATTTAAATGTAAAGTGTCTAATTCATAAATTAAAAGGTTCCAGCCTTAAATCAACTGTTAGTATTTCAACACAAAGAAATTTTCAGCAAAGCATAAATAATTGAAGCACTTAACAGTGTGAGAGGCCTCAGTGTTAAGGGAGCTCTGCTTCAAAGATACCATCTGCCAATTAACCATTAACTGTGTCAATATTCAGAACAAATATATTTCTCAGTTGAGTAAGGGTCTCAGTTACATTTCAGCTGAATTGGAGTGCCAACAAATCAAATACTCCTCAATTTAGTAATTACCAATATAAATGCTGTTTATACTGTTTTATTTTCATGAACTATTAGTCCATGATATCACATAAAATTATAAAAACTGTTTTGAAATCATATCACTTTCATCTACTAAATTAAATGCACCTATGACATTAATAAAATGAGCTTATACTAAAAATCAGTGGTTTAATATACTAAATTGTCAAAAGGTAAAGCTGCTGAATGAAGAGAAAAAAATGTAATGAAAATTCAAAATTATATTTGGCTGCCTATGTTTAAAAGAGATTTTTTTCATTCTTGCATTAGAGTTCTCATTTATTACTTATTTTTAAGTCCCATATTTTAATCATTAGCAATATCTATTCATATGAAGAAAACCTCATTTTTGGCAAATGACATTTTTCTATGAAGTTTTCATTTTTAAAACCTATTATATGTTCACGAAATATAAAAAGCTGAAGATACTAAAATCTCATTAATTTGAGAAGCAGCATATTTTTGAAAAGACACTGCTCTGTTGGAAAACCAATACAGAGAAATTCTGTTTCCGGTAAACAGGAAAGACATGCAAAGAGCATTCAGAATTAGATTTTTAAAAGGAGGTCCTATAAAGGACCTTGAAGTATTTATGCACATGAATGATGAGAAGATTTTTGTTAACATGAATGAGATGCAGTCCTGCTGCTTACAGCACCCAGATGCAATGTGCACCTTGGGGAGCTTCACTATCACCCCATGCTGGAATAGCATGCTTTTATTTGGGAGGGAGTACATTGGACAAAGTTGTGGATATATGGGCCAGGAAAAGCTAGTTGTTTATATTTTGCAATCAGCTTTAATTTACTTATCTAAGTTCTACTGAAATACTTAAACCACTGCTAAGCAATGAAACAGACACAGACTAATTTAGGGACTGTAAAAATAATAGGATAAACTTATTGAGAACAGTAATATGTATAGTTACAATACCAAATGTCTACGTATCTTTGGAGGTGGAATCCTTTCAGGGTAGTCATGTATGGCATATTTCTCTTTCAAGACAAACAACAGCCCAAATCACTCATTATGATACCAGTGCTGAACTGTAAGTGCTGCACAGTAAGTCAGCCCACCTGGCCATGGCACTCCCCAGCAGATCCAAGTATCATTCCATATCCCACCTCCAATGGCTCTAAACCTATGTTGTGGCTACTGATGAAAGCCTCTTCACAGTTCTGTATAGATATATCTAAACACTGAAAAAGATTAATTTTATATTTGCTGTGTCTCCTGTACATTAATGCAATTATCATCCCATTCCTATGGAGATGGAACACCAATTCTCCTTGTTTTCTTGCCAGACTATTGGAGATGCACATTCACTTATAGCAAACAGAAACACTGACTGAGGAATGGAGCTTCTCTGTGGGGCTTCATAAGTTTCAGCTCACAACGGCAAAATGTATGGGCTGCATTGAGCACCTGCTGCCTTGAAAGTACCTCATTTAGCTGACCATTTCCTTCTGTATTTTGGATGAGGGAGGTCAGTCAACAAGAAGGAGATAAGTGCTTCATAAAATATCTTTTGTTCTTGTGCCCTGTGCAGCATGACATCTCCATCAGCGCACCCAACCACACTTTTCACGCGACAGCAAATCCTGATACTCCCCTTCGAAGAGCATTAAGTCCACAGTAGCCAACTGAATTAACTGATCATATGTTTTGATTCTGAATAAATCTCTGTGCTAGTAATTACACAGATAAGTCTGTTTTCAAGTTATGCTTTACAATCCCAAGATAACAATGCCCAGATCTCAGCAGAAGTCTCCAGGCATGTTATCTGGCTGCTCCACCACTGGTAATTGGAGGTTGGGGATTTTGCAGGTTCCCGATGTTATGTTAAGCAGCCCCAACACTGGCAACGATTACAAGGATACTTCTGCAAATTTACTTGTATCTTCCCAGAACTTAGTGGAATGTTTTGCTTAAATAGATTCAATCAGCGTGACACGTGTCTATATAGCAACATGTGCCTTCCTCCAGACTTTTTTCATCCTTTTCATTAATCTTTAATGATATAGATTGTTTTATAATATACTGGTTTCCCTGGACAGTAAGGCAGCACTTTTCTATCTCATTATATTTTGTAGTATTTACTGTCAGTTAAATAACTTTTTCCTGATCCACATATATTTAACTGTCACTACAACTGTCACTAGAACATTATACAGCTCAGTGCCACTGACCTACAAGAACATTACTGCTTTTCCACATAACCTGCTGTATACCCTTAACATCAAGACAACATAACTGTATTTATGCATTCAGCTGCTTTCTCTTTTCAGATTAAAGTCCTAGATGGATTGTAGATGGCTGATGATTGCTTGAAAAGCCGGATGCTGAATATCTGAGAAAGGACGGTGCAGGCGTAACACATTCTGCAGTTTTCACACCTACTGAAATTGCTTGGGTTTTTTTCTTTAACAAGTAGATTCATCTGAGGTTAGAACATACTAATATTTGACCCCTTGACTTTCATGAACAAGCACTGAGCTTTCTTTTGGATACCCTGCTGCTCAGAAGGGCAAGTGCACCATTGTCAGTGCGCCTTCAGAGGTGCATCCCAATTCTGATCAGTCTCCTTGTTCTTTCCACTCTCTTCTCAAAGCTTCAATCTTTGCTATTTTTCTGGCTGTTTTCAGAAAAGCCATTATCAGAGCTGCATGGTCTTCACTTCCATTAGTTTCTAAATAGAAACTATTCCCACACCTTTTCAAAAGGGAAACTTTGCAAAGCAGGGGAACAGTTTGAAGCTTTACACACAGCCCCAACAGCCCCAACCTCAGCTGGGCTTGCCAGGCTGCCACCAGGCACTCCTGGAGTACAACGCTCCAGGACAAAACATTTCCCAGTGAGCAAACCAGCAGGCGTGAGATTTAATCTGCGGCTTGCCTGCAAACATCTCCAAAGATGCTGAGTGAAACAGTTCATCAAAGAAAGGCAGCAATTTCACTTTCTTTTGAGATGTGATACAGCATCACCATCTAGAAGATGAAATTTTCTTTGTTTTCCTTAATTAAACGTTCCACATTTTTATAATGTTACTACTGAGTTGTTAATATTTCATCTTTTAATTAGCATGTTACTACAATGTTTTCCCATGACTTAATCCTCCATTAAACCAAATATAAACAGATACGCCAGAACCCTGTCTTAAACTGCATATTCCTAGCTAATTACCAGGGCTGGTAGTCAACTAAGTATTGAATTACAAAATGAAAACATGAAAATAGATATTAATGTAGCTGAGACAGCTAGATTAGCATAACTCATATTACTATAGCATTCACTCAGTCCCACATAAGCACAGTGCTACAATACAAATGACAAATGCACAATTGATCAGAACAGTCTCTGCTATTTAATGCTGTTCAAGTTTCTTTGCTGTTAACCTAGGCAGAGAATTTTATGCACTATTGCTTTGGGTGGTGATCTTTTGCTCTTTTGGAACTCCAACCACCATATATAAGGCATGCAATACACTTAGGAAGGAGAGCTCTGCACTTCAAGCCCTAGCTGAGTTCACTTGCTGTTCAGGGCATGCAAATACAGAGAGGATCTGACCTGGCACAAAATGCAACTACTACGTGTAGACTGTGGCAACAGTGGGTCTGTGTTGCTATGACCTGGGTGTGGAAGGATGGGTAACTTTCTAAACAAAAGCAACTGTCCTATTTTTGTGATCAGCATACTGTCCTTTGCTAAGAAACTAGTTTTGTGTAACAGCAGAGACCCTCAGTGCTAATGCACAAGCCTTTACCACTGGACTAAACAGGCTGAGTCCTGAACATGGCAGCGGGACAGATGGACTGCCATTCCAAGGGCAGGTATAACAACATAGTGCCTTACCTGTCCTTCATAGAAGCTCAGGGGAAAGTTATTCTTAACCATGGTAATTGAGCAGGATGACACAAAATTAAAATAGTCTTACTACAGGACTTCAGTAGGTCCTTAAGGCTTCCCTACCTTTACAACACATCCTAACCTGCCAGATTATAGTAGGAAAGTGAAGACTGACAACTTTGTGAAATGTCAAGTTCAGAATTAAAAATTACCTGACACTGTGATCTAATTCTTAAATCCCAAGGGCTGCATATTTCAAGTCCCACATCTGCAGTCTGATTTGCTTTACCCTAGAATTTATCAGGAAAGCTTTGAATAATCTTGCTTTATTTCAGTGGGGAAGAAAAGAGTTAAATATACTTGCTTACTATATTTTTCTTTGTTGTTGTTCTGTATTATTCCCTGGCCTGTAAACCATCCAGAATACACAATCCAATTTGAAGTCCTTTCAATTACACACAACAATGAGCAGGCAAAGGTAGCAATTTACTGTATTTCAGTTCTGAATGTTGCCATTAGCTTTTCTTGTTACAAAGTCAAAGAAACTATGGGCATCAGCAAGACAAACCAGATCTTTCCAGGCCTGTTTTGAGTATGTCAGAGCAGATTCAAACATAACTCTCAAAAAATCTATTGTGTTCCCCAATCACGGGGCTATTCTGGGATTGCTTGTCATCTTATCCAGAAATAAATCAAAAAAGCTTCCAACAGTGAGACCAGTGTGCTACCATAAACCATTTCACTTCAACACACTGCCACTTTCAATGACAAAGGTTTTATGCAGAAGTTCTGATCTTGCTGCTTTCACTGAGAACATCTCCAGTAAGACCTAAAGAGTCTAGTACACTGATTAAGCAAACCAATAAAAGATAAGCTTTAAATATGTTAAAAATTCCTGTTTATTAGAATGGGACAATTCTCAGTTATAAAATCAAGCATACAATTCAGTGCTTGCATCAGCCCCTCATTTAACATGTGCATTCACCTACTAACAAAACGGCAGAATTTCCTAGAATCATTTAGCTTGGAAAAGATCCTTAAGATAATAAAGTCCAACCTAACACTGCCAAGTCCACTTCTAAACCATGTCCCTACGGGCCTCATCTACACACCTTTTAATATCTCCAGGGATGGTGACTCCACCACTTCCCTGGGCAGCCTGTTCCAGTGCTTGATAACCATTTAAGTGAAGAATTTTTTCATAATATCCAATCCAAACCTCCCCTAGCATAGACTGAGGCTGTGTCTTCTTGTCCTGTCACTTGTTACTTGGGAGAAGAGACCAACCCCCATCTCACTACAACCTCCTTTCAGGTACTTGCAGAGAGTGATGTCTCCCCTGAACCTCCTCTTCTCTAGGCTAAACAATTCCAATTCCCTTAGCTGCTCCTCATAATACTTGTGCTCCAGACCCTGCACAAGCTTCATTGCTCTTCTTTGGACATGCTCCAGCACCTCCATGTCTTTCTTGTTGTGAGGGGCCCAAAACTGAATACAGTATTTGAGGTGTAGCCTCACGAGTGCAGAGTTCAAAGGGATGATCACCTCCTTAGTTCTAGCTGGCCACACCATTTTCAACCACTAACTGCACGTCCAATCACCCCACTTCTTTAGCACCATGGAGGTTCTTCTGAACTACAAAACTGCATGTGTTTCCTCTTAAATGATGGTACAGTAATAATCTGCAACCAGTCAGAAAGCAAGATGTGAGCAGCAAAGATGACATCGAATAAATACAGGAAAAAAAAAACAAGGAAGCTCAGCAAATCTGAATTATTTGCTCTCATATTTAAATTAATAAATTCATTTGTTAATTAGCCATGGCACCAGGCAAAGAAATTAGAGGCATCTCATTAGATGACTGCATCAGAGTGTGTAATTTCTTGGCAAATGCATGTCAAGAAATCACCTCTTGGGGAACCACAGCCATGGGGGGGTTACTTCAGACACTGCATTGACTCCGGTTAATGCACTGTATGAGGATGTCATAATCTTTCAGGGTACTCACCTCCACTATGCTTGGCTGAAGCAGCACACTATTTATTATACACATATAAAGAAAATAAAGACCAGAGACTAAGAGAAACTGTGATTTGTTCAAATGTACACAAAGAGCCTGTGTCAGTCAGCCCCCAGACACAGCTCCTCCAGGCTAAAAGTACTTTTCTAAGTATCAGATCAGGCAACTACCACTTCCTTGGTGCATCTGAAATCAGTGACAAGTATACTTGGTACCTGCTGTGAAGAGTATTAGTATCCCAGCAACAATTCCAGACACCCTACATCTGTAAGTCTTTACCAACTTGGTCCAGGACAAAGCATACTAGTTATTGTAATTGCAGAGGTCTCTGAAAATGCCTTCAAGAGTAGGTATTGCAACAGCGCTAGTAAATGCATAGAGGTTAAGATAGCTTCTGAAAAGGAACAATATCTTGATCAGCTTTAAACAATATAGTTTTTTTTTTCATAATACTGGTAACACTGGTCATCAAAGGGTACTCCCCTATGTCATTATGTTTACTGAGGAAAAAGGACTGTTTCTGAAAATGATTCAGAGCAGGGTATGAACTAAGGTTTTCTCACAGGTGCTTTATTCCAGATGGCCTGTTTAGGTAGCATAGTGCACTCTTATTCTTAACTTCTATGCAAATACTCAACTGTGACCCAGGATTAAGAGTCCCACTGATGAAAGCAGACCACCAGGGCACAACTCCAGTCCCCTGCCCACACCCACAACCATGCCTTTGGAGTCCCAGGACATCCACAGTGCTGAAAAGAGAAAACAATTACATACCTGTCATTCCCAGACATCCCATCTCTTTTTGAAGCCAAAGATTATCTTTAATTACCTAAATACAGAAGAGAAGAATTATAAGAAAAAAAATGTTTTGATAAATGTCTAATATTGAACTCTTACACTGAATTTATGCATCACTACTAGACAGAACTTTATTCCACAAAGCCTTGAGTTTCACAAAATTAACTATGAGAAGAGAGATACAGCATGGCTCTAGAGGTCTCACACAGCTACGTTAAGCAGTCTAAGGCTCAGTTGTCTCCCACTATGGCTATACACACTGGGGGCTCAAACCGTACTTACATTTCATATTATCAGGCCGAGCAGAAGGGTTTGCTCTTAGTTTGTACTTGTAAAATAACCTTTCCAAAGACAGATTTGAGGACAGGGGAAAATGCCATCACTCGCAGTCAGCAGGAATGTGTCCATCACAAGTCCACTGATGTTATGCTCATTTTTCCTTTGGAGTATTACACAGAGCCTTTCAAAAATACAATGGGTGAAAAACTGCAGCTTATGAGGCAATATGTGATAGCCTCCTGCCTGCACAGACAACAGGGATTGCTACAGAAATCACAGCTTTAAAAAGTCAGTAGGAGAAACCTGCGTTTTTAAGGACTGTTAATGCCCAGTGTTTTGATCAAGAGCTAGTAGTCATGCAAGCAAGTTTTGATTTAACAAAAATACTTCCTTGCAGGAAATAATACAGAGTTAGGAATGTCAGCTGATTAACAGCAATCTTGTAAATTCGCTGAATGACATGACCTGCACTTGCTCTTTCTGTTTACTCCCAAGCACTACATGTGAGTAATGTTAAGTACTGACTTATGTCAACACCACTGTTACAGTACAGCAAGTTAGGGGCAATTTTCTTCTTTGCCTGCTCAGGGAAGGGAAGCCGTCAGTTTGATTACTGCTAGAGCTATATGTTTAGTTAACCTTATGTGAAAATAGTTCTCACTTCAGAGAGGGGACTTTGCCTCAAAATAACAGAAAATGCAAGACATCTCACAAATTTGGATGCACCAGGAGCCCTGAGTTTTGAGCACTCTGGAATACAAGTACATGGGGATTTGAGGCAGCTCTCACGGAGGAGAAAAGAAGGACAGAGGAACAAACAGAGGTGGGAACATGCAGCACACCCTGAGCAGCCAGAAGACACAGCTCTGGGAGACCCCAGGAGCTATTTCCAAATACCTAGTTGTATGCCGAAGCTCTCCAATGCTATTAGAAATTTCTTCTCATTAGTTAAACAATCTGCATGACCCTGAATTTTGAGTAGCCAAGCACCTCAAGAACACAGAAAGATAAGAACAGGAAACTCAGTGGCAAACTTTCACAAAAAATTGGCTATTGGATAAATATACACATATACATATTTCCATTTACGATATGGATATGCAGCAATAGAAATCACGTTAAAAGGGAATTCAGCTTTGCCAGGTATTTCTAGAGCAGTCTAGAGCCCCAGCTCCATTAAGAAAATGTGTACTAGTACTCTAAATGGATGTCATGACACAAGTTTAAAACACTGGTGAAAATATAAAGCACCAATACAATGGTCTATTATGGTCTATTAAATGTTGAAATAAATCTTGTTTATAAATACAAATCTTAAATATTACCCTCATGCACATCAGCATATACATGAATGTGAATGTTAAACGTCAACAGCCCCTTTGTAAATGATCCTAACAAGAGAGTGGCCTAAGCATGCATAAAGGCTTACAGAAAATGTGAACTGCTATCTAACAAGCTTTACTTCTTACTTCCTAGGTTATCAGTGTACAAATGGCTCCTGATAGAGTCCAGGCATTCATTCATCTGTGGTTTTACAACTGCTCATGCACAAGACTTAGTGTGTTCGTGTATCCATGTCAGTCAACTAGAAATGGCATTACAGCATTCCTTGTTTTTTCTTCTGCCTTATCAGACATTCAGTTCTCCGTAGTCTGCACTGCAAAATATTGTCTGGATGTTCAGCACAATTCTTCGACGCTGCTGCAGTGTATCGGTAACAGCAGAGGGCATTACATGGGGCTCTGCATTGGCAAGTAGAGCCAATTCTACAGGCCAGCACTCATGCCATACTTCAAAAGTAGTTACTTCAATGCAGTAATATTGCCAGCGGACAATTTAAATGAAGTTTTACATGAATTTGTTTTTCTGGTGGAAGGATCTGTTTGGTGGAAAGGTGGCTTGTTTGTTTTGGTTGGTTTTGTTTTTTTCACTTTCCAGCAAACCTATTTCCTGCTGATTAGACTTTTTGTAACCACACCACAAACTATTGTTTGTGACTCCCTCCATTCCCCACCGCCGCCTCGGGTACTCTCCACGCTGGGTAGAAGAAACCGTGTTGACACATTCTGAGGTGGCTTGACAGATACCTAGCTAAGTAAGGAGAAAGGACGAAAACCAAAAGCCGTATTTTAAACGGCTGGTGGCACTCCTACCAGAGGGCTGGGATCAGTGGGTAAAGGTGCTGTGACGAGGTAACGAAGCGAGGCCATTGCAAGCATGCGGCACATTACAGCGGGCCCCGGCAAGCCGAGCCCTGGCCACGGCTCTGCCACACACCGCTGCCCCTGCGTCCTCAGACCGGGCTTCTCCTCCGCCCGCCACCACCCGCCCTGGGCCCGCGGATCCGCCCCGCTGAGGGCTGACCCACCACCGCGCAGCGCCCCGCGGCCACACCGCCTTACCGCAGCCGCCGTCTGAGCGCAGGGGTCCCGGGGCGGGCCCAGCACCCCGGCCCCTTCCTCGGGGCTCGGCGAGGCCCGGGCGCGCTCGGTGGCCGCTGCGAGGGGCTGGGCGGGCACGGAGGGCCCGACGGGGAGCACCGCCAGCAGCAGGCTGGCCAGCAGCCTTCGCATGGCAGCGGGCAGCTCCTCCGCGGGCACGTAGGTCGCTCCAGCGCTTTGCAGGCGCTAACCCCGAGCCAGGCCTGGCCTCAGCCTCCGCAAATCACCCGCCATCCGTCTCCTCCCACCGCGGCGAGGACGGGGGGCGGGCGGCGGAGGGGCCCTAAGCAGCAGGACCTCCCTCTGCTGTTTGCTGGCCGGGCCGGGCCGGGCCCTATGGCGGCGGCCGGGGGCTGCGTACGAGCGGTGGGGCTGCAGTTCTGGGCTCACTCGCTACAGACGCTGTCCTCGCTGCTGGCCCCCGCTGTCCTGCTGGGGCTATTGCTGGGCGCCACCGCTGCCGCCCTGCTCTGCCGCTACGCGCTCGGGCAGCGCCGGCGGAGAGAGGTACGCGGGGCGGCGGGCGGTGGGCTTGCAGCCGTCCCACGCCGCTGCCCTCCGCCGCGGTGGGGGGGGGGGGGGGGGGGGGCTCGACCTGTACCAGGCTGAACTGCTCGGAGGGGTCGGTTTTGTGAGGGGAGACGACCCCTCCGTATTTTCCGCGAGGCCCGGGGGTACTGCTGGCTCGGCCCGTCCCGCCGCTCGGAACAGCCGGGGCTGGGCCGCAGGTCCCGGGGAGCCCTGGGGCGCTGGGCGAGAGGCGCGGCCGGGTCAGGCCTCCAGAGCGGCGTTGGGGTGAGCTCGGCGGGAGTTAATTCCTGACCTGACACTTCTGCTGGCAAGGGTGTTACTACTTTCTGCATCAATTTACTGGAACAAACGGGCTAACTCAAAAGAGAGGCTGGTGAAGTATATGTGTCCTGAATGTTGCCCTGCTGGCCTGTATCTTTAACGTGGGTGGCCCACTAACCGCGTCTCTCATCACTTGTACTGTGCTGCTGTGAGGGGATAATGGAAGATGTGCCTGGCTTGTAGAAGCTTGGTGAGGTAACTGAAAATAACCAGAAATTTCCGCCCTAAACCAGTAAGAACAATCCGATTTCCAAAGTAGTTAACAAACTTGTCCGAAGTTCCTTTTACAGACATCACAACCAGAGAATTAGTACTAGCTCACAGCAGTACCTTTGCACTGAGAGAACACACATAAATACCTGAGAGATAAAAGAGGCAGAACACATCTGACAGTACTAACAGGGTTTTTAAAGTGTCTGGTTTTGTTAATAACATACCTGCCTTCGTGTTTTAAGGACTGTGGTGAATAGTTCGTATCTCTTTATTACAAGAACTGAGTGTTTGGACTTGAAGATTGCAGTGGCAGCACATACCTGCAGAACACTACTAGGCAGATATATTTTCTGAGAATTGTTACTGACTTATGCTTCTTTCCCCCATCGCATTTAGTCCCAGGTCATGCTACTGTATCATTGGCCGGATGTGGTAGCAGTGGTTGACAGTGGTGCAGCTGGGAAATTTGGAGCCCTGTGAAACATTCTGCCAGTCTGCGGTGGGGTGCCTGGTTTGACTTGGGTTTTAACCACATTTATTTTTTAGCTGTAACAGCTCTGCTGTGTGTGCATATCTGCTAGTGTTGGTCGTCATTAAACGTGACATAAGAGAAAAATCCTTTGCTCCCGACTGCTTTTAAGTAGGAGGTTCGAAACTCCGTTTGAAGCCATGATTTAGCCTAGTAATGGAGGCACTTCAAATGCTGGATCAATGCACCCTGTGCGAGTGCAAGCCTCTCTGATTCAATTGCTCAGCTTCCCTGCCTTAATAGGTGGTATCTTTATTGTACTGTCACTACCAACTCAAATATAGCTATGTGCAATTTTACCCTTTATGTCATTTATGTCAATAGGGAATAGAAACTGACAGTTCTCTCTGGCCCAGATTTTCAGATGGATTTAGGTACTTAAATGCCATTAAAATCAATGCTGCAGCTGTGAAAGAGTTGTTTATTTTGAAAGAAAAATAAACTGTTGGCTGGGGCACATGGAGCAGTGGACAGGTTGTATCCCATAGGTCTGATTTCCTGAATCCAGCAGTGCTCCCATAGGCTGTCTGTGCCTGTTCCTTCTTTGTAGTGCCTGCCCCACCAATGGGGCAGGTGCATTGTATGAATAGCAAGTACTGAACTGCACATATTACAGCCTTCTGAATCCATAGTAAAAGCAGAGATACCTAAGTATGCCATGTAGCTTCCCAGGCAGCTGAGTTGTCCTTGCAATAGGATCAGGACAAGTACCTGGAATCTGAAGCAGCCATATGTACTGTGTTAAACTGCCAGCATTTGTCACTCAGCCCCAGTTAATCACTGTTCTGTCAATCTCAGCCTGAAGCTGTGGGACTTGGGTGCTTGCAGGTAAGTGCCTTACTGGTTTCTTCGTCTGTGCATAGGATGTACTGGAATAGTTTTAAGAAGAAACTTCAGACTGCGTAGTGGATGGCACTACATTTCTATCAATATTCTCCTGTTAGAGTATGGCATTGCCTGAAGGCTCTTTGTAGTAGATTAGCTTGCAACTGCTTGTTGCAGTAATTACAATTAGACTTATTTTTCTTCAGTTTCTTAATGCTCAGTACCGCTTCAGTTGCAAAAATAACAGGACAAAAACAAATGGAGAGGAAGGCGATGAGATATGTTAAAAAGAAAGAAATTAATCCTGGAAAACGTCAAATATTTTTTAAATTATAGTGTTGGAGATAAAGGAGTGAAAATGAATGCTAGATGAATATGAACTGTTGGAGAAACAGGCTGAGAAAAGCAGACTCTTCTTTTGGAGTGACTGTAGTGTGAGATGCATTGAAGAGGGCCACAAGGATGATCAGGGGACTGGAGCACCTCCCATATGAAGATAGGCTGAGAAAGTTGGGGCTGTTCAGCCTGGAGAAGGCTGCGTGGAGACCTCATAGCAGCCTTCCAGTAGCTGAAGTGGGGCTTCCCCCACTGGGGAGGGACTCTTCATTAGGGACTGTAGTGACAGGACAAGGGGTAACGGGTTAAAACTTAAACAGGGGAAGTTTAGATTGGGTATAAGGAAGAAATTCTTTCCTGTGAGAGTGGTGAGGCACTGGAATGAGTTGCCCAAGGAAGTTGTGAATGCTCCGTCCCTGGCGCTGTTCAAGGCCAGGTTGGACAGAGCCTTGGGTGACATGGTTTAGTGTGAGGTGTCCCTCACATGTCCCTGCCCACGGCAGGGGAGGTGGAACTAGATGATCTTAAGGTCCTTTCCAACCCAAACTATTCTATGATTCTTTGATGAACTCAACATGGCTACATCCTCAAGTCCTGATCTCTTAACCTAGATTTGGTGAACTTCTGGGTTGAGAAAAATGAGTGATAAGATTGCTGGGGGAGACATGTAGCTGTTCTTTTGTCATAAGTAGATTTTTAGTAACCAGCATCTGCATTTCAGCATATTGTACAGGCTAACTCAAGAATATGAGTCGTATTGTTGAGAATCCTAAGTTCCAAGAGTTGTATTTAAGGTTGTGGACCTCTCTATATTCTGAGAAAATTGACTACTTTTTATGGCCAAATGGCCAAATAATTCAAGGAGAATCTATCCACAAGACAGTTACATGCATAGTGGCCTCAGCCATATCATTAGTCTGTATCAAAAATCAGACAGTGGGTTGAAAGACTGAAAAATAATTTTGAAAGTAATTGAGGTAGGGTGGCTGCCATCTTTTCCTTCACTAAATAATTCCTTGCAATGGTGTATTTAGATGCATTGACCAACGTGAGCACTATTTTTGGGTCTAAGTAGTGCACAGGGAAGAGCATGTGCAGCAGGAGGTTTTGTTCGTGCACAGTCTGTGTCTGTACTAGCAGCTCTGTGTGTTTGTTAGGGAAGTAAAGGCCAATGTTACAGGCTGGTGTTGGAGAAGGAAGATGGTGAACATTTCTGATAGTTAATTGTCCCTGACAGAAATTTTCCCACAAATAAAACTTCATTTAGGAAGCTTTTCTCATATCAGCGGAGCAAAAAATCTCAATGTTCTCTTCATTGGAGGCAATTATAGGCAATTTTAGTTAACACGTTTGACTTGAGAAGTTTGAACTTGGACTGTGAGCCCAATGCCATAGTCTGTATAAGATGCTTTGAGAGCAGATGGATTGATTTGACACTTGCACAGCCTTTTGCACCTTTTCAGATTAAAATTCTGCTTCTGGACTGAGAAATTCATGAAGTTCATTAATTTTAATTATTCCTTCCTGAATATGTAAAATTCTTACTCATTTTCAGATTTTATTTTTCCAAAATGTCCAACTGATACTGAAATAATTTTCAGGATAGAGACATGGATATATTCAGACTGCTGTCAAAGATATTTCCACTGATTTGGTGTGATTTCAGTATTATATTTTATCTGTTTTGTCTCAAAATTTCAGAGGGATGATTCCCAGAGACTTCTGGAAAGCTTCAGCTCTAATGAAAGAGAGCACACACTCGCGAAAAGTAAAGCAGAACCCTATATATCAGAGGAGGAAATGGTGCTGGAGGTAAAGCTCTGTTTTTCTTGGTGAATGTCCATTTTGCTGCATGTAGCAGTGATCACTTTCAGAGCCTGGTTCAAACTATCTTAATTTTGTTGTGTTTGGAATTGAGCTTTTAAAAAGTGTTTAGAAAAAGTGTAAGAAGGAGGGTGGGAGCTGATGGCTGCTTATGAATGCAACCATTTCAGGTATTCATTCCCATTATTAATGCCTTTTCTCTAAGGGGACTTTTGACATTCTATATTTTAATTGAATTCTGGAATTCTTTTTGGATGGAGGCTTGTTTCGTTTTGTCTCTACGTTGTCCTTAATTTCAAAAGGCTGATGGGAAAAGAACACTGTCAACGTAAGAAAAAGTTCTTAAGTACTGAAATCAGTGCTGATAGTTGATCCTGGATTCTTCCCTGGAGAAGTAGATTTATTACAGAATTTTGACATTAATGAAGTTCGCCCATCAGGTTCAATGTGGAACAAATACATTTTTTCTAGAGCCTTCTTAGAGTCTTCAACTTTCAGTTGGAGTGAGTAGACCAATGGAGGAAGAAAGAATAAATGAAGTAAAATGAGTGTG